CATCCTCGTGGCTGTCTGCCGCGAGTCGGGCTAATTATGTGGTGGACAATGGGCACACCGGGTCACCATTCGATTGGGCTGGATCCATCCTTCCGCGACCCATGGAGGTTCCACAACGGGAAGTCTCTTGTGCGGGACAATGGAATCCTGGCTGGGCATCCTCCACGACTTGTCAGGGAGGTGGACCAACTTTGTCAAGCAACGCTAAGGAACTCTTTTCCGGGGTCCCGGGCGCCCCCCGGCACCTTCTCCGATGGCCGACAACATCATTGGCTCAGCAGTATCGCCGGCTCCCCCTGACTACTGCGTAGCGTCAGTCCAAACCCCTGCCCCTAGCGGTGCTACAGGACGGCCTGCTCGGGGTCATGCAACCCGCAGACGAGCAGGAGCACTCGTCCGGCACGAGATGGGGCCGCCCCAGGGTTTCTGAGGGGCAGGGGCTGGACACAGAAGGTTGAGAGAGGCTCCGCGGTGAGATCAAAGCTTCGGTTGAACTTGCTGCGAAATGGTTTGCCACGTGCATATCGGAGCATGGCTTGGCCCAGATCGACACACGGCTGTCAAAACTCTCCAAGGTGGTCGATCACTCATGACAGACACCCATGTTTCATGCAGCCACACCATGAGCACTTCGCAGCGGCTGAGGGCACCCTAGAAAGCTTGTCAGCGCCCCTCATGCGCGGAGAAGTGAGGACGGTTGATAGCGGATAATGAGCGCGCCCCTGAGGGGGCGCTGGAGAAAGTTCTAACGCCATAGCCATTACTGGCTGGCCGGACCAGTAGGGCTCCAGCGGCGCAGCGGGCTGGTCGAGGCTGCTGTGACCAAGACGGAAAAGATACCTGAGTCGCGTTTTCGAGTGGCACTCAAGGCAATGCGTGGCGCTGCGCCTCCTAAGGGAAGCATCAGGTTGCCCCCGCTCCTGCAGGGATGGCCTCGGGGCATGTTCCGGTCCCTGTTGTTACGATCTGGCAGCTGTGACAGAACGTTATACCCCTAGGGCAAAAGATCAGGCAATAATCGCAGTGGTTGGCGATTATCCAGGTGCTTCCAGTACCTTATAGTGCCTCCCCTAGCCGGGTCGTGACACCTGTCCTCCCATGACCAGGTGCGAAAAGTTGCATGGGCCGTCGTGACGGCTCCTCATCGCTGAGCCTTTCTGATGTCGTGCAGAGTTTTCGACCGTGCTTGCCTAGGTATGAGTGGACTCGATACTCGTTACATTATCATTGAAGGGCACTTGCCCTCCTACACTTGGGACGAAAGAATGTGCTATGTGCGGAGGGGCGTACAGACTCTTAGATCCAAAAGACTGGCAAGCACTGTAGTTTATAACTTCCACCTTTTGAGGCCACCGGTGAGGGCAAGAACAGCCGGAAGACCACGACAACGATGCAGGTGACTGATCCTTCATCACTGGTTGAAGGATACCTGTTGCACTAAAGGAAACCAACCGAGACATGTAAAGACCCAACATGGCATCCGAGGTGGTCATAGCAACGGATGCGCTGCAGATCCCGCCAAAGAAGGCTTTGAACCAAGAGGCCACCGAGACACGCCGTCGGCCGCCACCCGGCTGGCATGGTTGCCAGGAAAACCCCCTTGCCTCGTACCTGTCTGTGACCGCACGACATCGCCTGGTTCGGTGTGCGGGCGATGCTTTCCACCATAATACCGGTATACTTCGTTTGGACCCTGTTAGCATCGCTATGACTTCAAATGACGACCTCATGCACCTAAGTGATCGGCTATACAGTTCCGACATAGTGGTTGAGCATGGTAAAAAGCAGAGCCACCGTTCAAGGGTCTAAGGGCAACGTGCTGACCGGGATCTAAGAGCAAGCCTTCCCAGTCTGGTATGCTCTGGTTGGCGGTTGTAGCTGAGCTCCCTCACTAGTCTGGCGCTATGAAACCCCTGAAAGGCGGCATGCAGAGGTGTGACTTGGGGTTGTTCTGGCCGAGTTTTCATGGTCGTTCCCATGGCACTGTTAGCCAGGCCTAGCGTCGCACTCTGTCACGGGTGGCTTTCCGAACACCACCAGGCACTCTCGCCGACTTGGGGCCACGGGACAGGCTTGCTACAGTGCTGGGTTCCTGGCAAGGGCTCGTGTTGACCGTTTGAGAGCACCGATCCTGCTGTAGAACATCCCCGGCAAGGCTGGTCTTGCATATATCTTTACACGAACCCAACCCGCCCTTCCCCAGAATAGCGATCGCCAGTTCCGCGACCGAGCCTGGCTGTTCTTGCTAGGAGCATTCCCGATCCTCCACAGGCAGCCTGTGCCGCCTTGACCATCTCAGCTCACGAATCCGTCGACACTGCGCCGATCTCACGCAAACAGCAATAGCAATGGCTGGTCCACCGGGCCCTCCTCCAGTGTCCAACTATCCTCCCGGAACCCAGTTCTGGGAGACGGACGACTGGGCTGGAGGCCACTAGGCCACACTCAACATCGCCCTGGTCATCCTCAGCTCTCTTTTTGTCTTCACGCGCCTCTACACTCGTTTTTTTATGGCCAAGACGCCCGGGTGGGATGATCTGCTCGCTGTGCTTGCGCTGGGGGTTGTTTGTACACAGTCTGCCTTCAACATCCACCTGTCGTACCATGGCGCCGGCGCGCATATGGAGCTGATTCCATTACCTGACCTCATGGAGTTCTTCATGGTAAGCAAAGAACCTCTCTCTCTCTCGTCTCGGCAGAGAAACAACACTGGTCCGCTACTAATACTTCGGTCCATCTCAGGGACTGAACAATCTCAACCTCCTTTATTTCTGGGGTGTTGGGTTGGACCGACTTGCCATCCTCGCCTTCTTGCCGAGACTGAACAAGGACAAAGTTTACATGATCCTGATCTGGGCCACCATCGGCATGGTTCTTGCAACAACCTTGGGATGCTTCTTCTTCCGTCTGTTCCAGTGCAGCCCAGTGTCAGCCGGCTGGCTTCCCCCAATGTCGAGTGACGCGCAGTGTTTCACGCCGGTGCAGCTCGACCAGATGATGACGGCCCATGCCGTGCTTGGCATCATCTTTGACGCCATTCTCATGGGTCTGCCAATCTGGCTCATCTACACCAATATGCTGCGGTCGCGCAAGATGTTCCAGGTCATTGCAGTCTTCAACGTCGGTATCTTCGTGGTCATCACTGGCTGTATCCGTCTGTACTACATCAAGACCATGGACTGGAAAGTCGATTCGTACGTCTGACACCCAAACAACACTGATAGGCAGTGTCTACCTTGAAACAAAAATGCAGTACGAAGGCTAACCATGGCTCATTGAACCACCCGTAGGACATTCAAGATGGCCACCATCGGAGTGTGGACCGACCTGGAGTCTCATATTGGTCTGTGGTGCGCGTGCTTCCCGGCGCTTCAGCCCGTCATCAGGATCGTCGCCTTCAAGCTCGGCCTCCGCTCCACCCTCGACAGCTACGCCCGCAAGACGGCAGGCACCGGGGGCGTCTCGCATGGCTCGCGGCCCGGCAACTCGTCCACACACATGCGCTCAGGCCACCGCTACCTGCGCAGCGGCGCGGGCGTGGATGTCAAGACCGAGGCTTCCAACGAGAGCCAGACCAACATTATCGACCCGGTCAGGGACTACGAGCTGTCGAAGCTCCCCAAGATCACCAAGGAGACCGAGGTCCGCGTGGAGGTGCAATTCCGCGGCGCAGCCGGCAAGGACAGGAAAGAGAACTGGATCGATGTTTGAGCCCCGGGGGAGGGGTCCAGTTGCGTGCTTTTTGTGTGACGATCGGGAGACACAGGCATCTCCCAGTAACGACCACCTTTTTGCTGCTTCTGATTTCATCACGGGATCATGACCACATAACACACCAATCAGTCAAAGTTTTGAGAGGACGATACCCTGACGTTGATACTTGGCCCCGTTTGGGGGCCTTAAAAGCATATTTTTGCTTCTCAGATACTCCTTTGTTATGGCGCCGTGAGCCGACCTTCCCCGAAGCTTGCTTTGGATTACGTGTACTTTTTCCGTTTTCCTTTCATGTTAAATTGGGATATAACAGAAGCACAGCGCAATCTACGTAATGGCGAGACGAATTCAATGGCAGGTCAGTTGCCTTGTGATTAGGCAGGGAAAGCAAAGCCTGCAAGTCCATCACCGACACCCGCTGTCCCTGGATGTGCACCAAAGGTTCTGGTCGCTAATATCGCACCAAATAACCGTCAGGGTATGCGCAGGTTCCGTCGGCTGGGCCTTGAATGCCTTTGCCTGGTGCCTCGGTAGCTGGGTGCACCTGGCTACGTTGTAACGCTACTCGGTGGGATTCTTCTTGTCTTGGAACATCCTTAACTAGAAACCCGGGCACGTACCACTGTGTCTACATCTACATTATTAAAGGGGGGCGGTGCTGTGCATGGGAGCATGTGCGAGTTCCTGAACCGCGCCGATGTTGGTTGCGACCGACCTTTCCAATTTTGCCTCGGCAGCCTAAATGCCGTGCAGTCACGTTCCGAACGCTGCTCTGAGTCTCGGGCTGTGTGGGCTCGCTATATGTGACCAGATTAGGGCGTTCCAAGACTCTCTAGGGCATTTGTCTCCAGCGCACTCGTCGCAGGTTGCCCATACGACAAAATTCTGATACTGCCACTCCGGGTTTTGCCAACGATAACAGGGTCTACAGCTAATTATTGCTCAAACAGGGGTGGCTCCTTGCCTGACTCGGGCTTATTTTGGCCAGACTTTTCGAGATCCACTACCACAGCTTGGCCTATTACTCAGCTCTAACATTGATCCTGCGGTCATCTCGACCCGAGTCGAGGTCTGATCGCGAGCTTCTTGCGTCATGTCCTTGTTGGTAGTACGGGGATCTAGACCCCCCGGTCACCGTCAGCAGCCCCGCCTCGGACGCACTGCAAGCCAAGGTACCACGCACGCCACCTTCGCCTGCGGTCCCCAGGCCTCCAAAACGTGGCACATGGAAAAGCGTGTCTGCAAAGCTGCCATTCTCATGAACACTAGGCGCCTTCGTCGTTCCGATCTCTCTTGGGCTCAGGCAATCCGCGCCGACGTCAAGCGTGTTCTGAAGGCTCTCGACATCGACTACACAGAGATCCGAGGAGGTTTCAGCTGCCGTACCGGGTCGCGAGCTGGTGGCAAGAAAGGACAAGAAACCCCGCTGAGCCCGGCGGCCACCCCTGGGCACCGCCCGCGTCTGAGCTTCGGCTTCCGACCTGATAAAGAACGGGAGGAGATCCGAGAGATGGACAAGGCACCGCCAACACCCCGGACACCAGGCAAGGCCTCGGCAGAGCGCAGCGGTTCGGCTTCTGAGCTGTCAGAGCAGGAAGACCACCGCCGTGACCCGACAGGATCGGCGCGGCGGCTCCCAGGGGAGACCACCACCCACGTTCAGCACGACATGGGAGACAACACAGTGGTTGCATTCGAAATGCTTATTGTCAAGGTGCCACTCCTGTCGCTGCACGGGCTGCAGTTCAAGAGGATTGAGGGCAACACCTGGCAATTCAAGAACCTGGCGGGCCACATCCTCAAGGAGCTTCGACTTTAATCAGTCGGCGAGCCGAGTTGGAAGATGGCTGGGCGAGTGGGAGAGTGGGCCGATTCAACATTGTTGCATCAGCATGGAGCGATATCGGGTTTGTGGTGTTATAATGATCAAAGCATCGAAGCAAGGAAGGTTGTTCATTTCTCCCTTGCGCCGCATCATCGCCAACCGTGCCCGACGCGACAACGACAACGACGGCAGCCCTGTCCCTCCCCACCTGCTTGCCGCAGAGGACAACCACATCTTCCACAACCAGGCGAGCATGCTACCGAATCCAAACATGTACGCGCATCACCAGTGCCATCCGAACCAGCAGGAGCAGTCGTGGATGCACCAGCAGCCCGGCCACCAGCAGCACCAGGCCCAGCAGGCCGCCGCTGCCGCCGCCGCCCAGCAGCAGCACTACTCGCGCATGGCTGCCAATGCCCACAACCCCTCCGTAAACAATGCCGCCGCCATGGCCTCGGCCGCGGGCGCCGGCGCAGGCGGCGGCGGTGGCCACGTGCAGGACCCAGGCCTCGAAACGTCTCCGAGGACAACCGCCGCACCCTCAACTACATTGCCGACCTCCTGCGCGAGGACATGCGCGAGGCTGCCCTCCTCGAGCTCAGCAAGAAGCGCGAGCAGGTCCCTGAGCTTGCCCTCATTCTCTGGCACTCATTCGGCGTCATGACCTCCCTCATGCAGGAGATCATCTCCGTCTACAACCTCCTCAACCCCAGCCAGCTCACGGCCGCCGCTTCCAACCGCGTCTGCAACGTCCTCGCCCTCCTCCAGTGTGTCGCCAGCCACAACGAGACCCGGACTCTCTTCCTCAATGGTAGGTCTAGTAACAATCTTCGCGGCCAAGCAGACCAAGGCGATCAAGTGCTGACATGTGACCTTTGGCGTGCTTACAGCTCACATCCCACTCTTCTTGTATCCTTTCTTGAACACGACATCAAAGTCGCGGCCCTTCGAGTGTCTGCGTCTCACATCACTCGGAGTCATCGGTGCCCTCGTTAAGAACGACTCAACAGAGGTCATCAACTTCCTCCTCACCACCGAGATCATCCCCCTCTGCCTCCGCATCACGGAAACAGGCTCCGAGCTTAGCAAGACCGTCGCTATCTTCATTGTCCAGAAGATCCTCCCTGGACGACAATGGTCTCAACTACATATGCGCGACGTACGAGCGATTCTACGCCGTCGGCACGGTCTTGAGCAACATGGTCGCGCAGCTCGTCGAGCAGCAGACGGCCCGCCTCCTCAAGCACGTTGTGCGTTGCTTCCTGCGTCTTAGCGACAACGCCCGAGCTCGTGAGGCTTTGCGCCAGTGCCTGCCCGAGCCGCTCCGCGACGCCACCTTCAGCGCTGTGCTGCGCGACGACGCGGCTACCAAGCGCTGTCTCGCCCAGCTGCTCATCAACCTCTCCGACACCGTCATCGACCCGGGCTCCAGCGGCCACTCTGGCCTCTGAAGCCGGACGATCGTGCTTTGAAGTTTCTTGATATCTTCCCTGGGCGCAGAGTTCACAGCTCACGCAAAGGGCCCCTCATAAGTAATCATCATCCATTGCATCACAGCGTGGCGCAGCCGAACGAACAAGACGAACTTTTTTAGATTTTATTTCACAAAAAGGTATACCCGGGCGTTGAAAGCTCATATTTATTCCGGTACACTCATCCCCTCTCCCTCACGACTCTTGTATCTTGTATGCAAACAGTCCAGCTTCACTGGACGTGGCGCTGTGCAGGGCTAGCTTCCTCACAGGTTTTGCGGCACGAAGAAAAACATGGTCCAGAGGGCTTCATAATGTTTCTGCGTGAACTGCTTCGCGGCACTTGTGTGGTGGGTCGTACAATATGTATCCATGAGGGTCCGCACAGCTATAAGGTGTTTTGATCTGGTCTTTTGGGCGTTATATCGGCGCTGACGGGCGGGGGCGTTTGCGAACAGGCCTTCAGAGGATGAAGCGTGCAGATTTCGAATACACGGACATGTGCTCTTCACCCGACCTGGAAATGTGGAGGAAATAAGAGAGCTCGCAGGGGGGAAACCAGGCTGTTTATATTGGGCTGTGTATAACAGGGGACCGAGAACTCCTGTAAGGGGGAAGATGAGGTGGAGGAGGAGACATGTAACTACTATATTTTCTGGACAGTATTGCGGCATTTCCGACGGGACCAAACCTGGAACGGCAAAAGAAGGCAGGCGTTAGGATGCAATCGAATGCATCATCATCTTCTGAATCTGGCAGTCCGAGAGCACAAAACCTGGGCGAGAAAGTGGCTCGACTTGAGCCAGCCCGTGGTTTGTCAAATCCGTGGGTCTCGGATCTCACATTGTATGGTAAAAACGTGGACTTTCGCAAAGTTCGTATGAATATCTACGCACGCACGTGCCCCGAGAACTCCCTCATGAGGTTGTTACAATCTGCTAATATCCAAAAATGGTCGCGCCAGATATGGCTGTCCGGTCCGGCTCTCAAAATGCAAAAGACATCCTCGTCTAAGTGTGCGGTGATCATAAATTATCCAAGACAAGATAGCAAAACATGGGGAAAATGGACGCCTGCAGGGGCTATCATGACCCTCCCCATCAGAAGCGCGGTATTGGTATCGAGCGGTAAAAGACAGTTGTCATCAGCGGCATGAAAAGCAAAGGCTCACTCCCCAACGTGCCTACTGGGCTGCATTCTCGCCGGCCTGGATCACTAGGATGCTGGCCTGCAGGCCACCAAACACGAGCTGCTGGCCCAGGACACCGATGGTGTTCCGCATGCCGTCTTGCACAAAGTAGTTCGCGGCGGCCGGCGACGAGCTCGGTCTCCGCTGCTGCTGCAGGATAGAGTGCCGCCGGCCGACGACCACAATGTTGCCAGAGTTGCGCGGGTTCTGGCCGATAGTCTCGCTGGCGGCCTTGATGGCTTTCTCGGCCGCAGCCTTGCTAGGAACGCTCAGCTTCGAGAACGTGACGCGTGCGGCCAGCTCCGCCGGCAGTGATGACTGCAAGGTGCTAAACAGGGTGGCATCCTCCGCGAGGCTGTCAACAACAGTGGGCTCCTTGGAAACGTGCTCTGACGTCGTGGCTGGAACAGGGGATATGCTGTCGTCCACGGCATCAGATAGTGTGAGGTGGAGGATGGTGGCCGTGACGTTGGGGTTCTTCGCGATCTGCAGGACAAAGCGGAGAGCAGCCCGGTCATCAGGGCCTCCAACGAAGGGCAGGAAGATGCGGTGAGACTTCTCGAAGTTGGGCAGTACCGCAACCTCTCTGTTGCTGCGCATCGAGACGACACTCTTAGATCGGGTCAGCCCAGGCCGTTCAAATGTGCCCGTCCCATTTGTGTCGTTGCTGACGAGAATGCCGGTGGTGCAGATAGCCTTGGCAAAGACGGACTGCACGAAGTCAAGGTGAGGGCCAGGGTTGTAGCGATCCTCAGAGGAGACCCGGAAGGGCACCGACTGATCTTCTGTGTTGCTGCCAACCTGACTCCAGGGCACGAGGACAAAGTCTGACTCCTGGCTCGACGCGGATGTGACGACAGTGTCGGCGTACATGCTCTCTGGAGTGACGACAACGTTGCCGGAGAACGCGAGGTCATGCAGTCTCGAGAAAGTCCTGAAAGCATTAATGACAGGGTCGCGCTTTGCATAGTCCTCGGTCTCTGTGACCTTCATGACGGAAGAGCTACGGTCTGTAAGTTCCAAGATTCGTAGGGCGTGAACTTCCAGCGGACGGGCCCTGGGCCCGACGGTCCTGGCGCCGTCGCTCGCATGGGCAGCATCTTCTGCCGGTGCGGCAGGCACCTCTTCCACTCCCAGTATCGACAAGAATGTGAACGTGCTAGGGAGACTGTCGAGACGCAGGTATACGAGGACGCGCTGAATCTTGGTCTTGTGTAGCTTCTGTGCCGAATCAGAAAAGCTGTTGTCGTCGTGCACGATAGGCTTGCCGTCCCAATCGATCTCACCACGCTTCCAAGCGTCCAGCTTCTTGCGGTACCAGGGAGGTTACAGCCACTGGGTCAGGGGCGTCGTTGTGCAAGTGGTGACGAGTGCCATGATGACGAACATGGTGAAGGTCCTCTGGTCCAGGATGTTGGCCTGGTAACCAATGTTCTGTTTGATGAGTTAGACGAGCCGCCTAAAATCGAGCTACGACAAGAATGACTGGCAACTTACAAGAACGATAAGCTCGACGAGGCCCTTGCAACTCATGAGACATCCAATGGCGAAACTCTCTCGCCAGACAAGGTTCATCGCCCTGGCAGCGAGCGTGCCGCCAATGATCTTGCCTGCAAACGCGCAGGCAAGGACGCCAACGACGTAAGCCTAGGTTAGACCGTCGTTCAGAAGGCCCAAGTCCGTGTTCAGACCCGAGAGTGCGAAGTATAGCGGCAGGAACAGAGCAGAGATGAGATCTTCCATGCGTTCCGTGACCTTGATACTGAAGCCACCCTCGTGTGGGCAGATCAGGCCGACCAAGAACGCGCCAAAAATGGCATGCACACCAATGATGTCTATTGAACAAATGTCAGCGAAGAGCTGTCGTCGGAGAGGGCTGCGGCAATCCGGGAGACTTACTCGTGAACCACGCCGAGATGAGTACCAGCACGAGGGTGACCATAATCATGGACTCACTAGGACCATTCTGGATGGCACCCTTTTTGCGCAGTAGCCAGTGGAAGGCGGGGCGAACAGCAAAGACGAGAAACAGGGTCCACGCCACGGCGACGAGGAGGACCCAGAGAGCAGCGATGCCGGATCCGTTGTTGACGAGCGCGACGCAGAGGGCGAGGAGGACCCATCCAACAACGTCGTTGCCGACACCGGCGGCGAGGACGGTGACACCGACGGGTGTGCTCAGCATGTCGAGCTCCGTCAGGATTCGGCAGAGCACGGGGAAAGCGGTGATGGCCAAGGCGGTGCCGATGAAGAGGCCGTAGACGGTGAAGCTAATGTTGGACTTTGACTTGTCGTGGAACTGCTCGTAGAGGCCGGCGGCGATGGCGTAGCCGAGGGCGAAGGGCAGGACCATGCTGGCAGCTCCTACGCTGGCGGCGACGCGCCAGTTGTTGACGAACATGCGCAGGTCGACCTCGAGGCCGATGAGGAAGAGGAAGAGCAGGAGACCGAGGTTTGCGACGTTGTTGAGGACGACGATGGAGTCCTTGGGGAAGACCTCCTCTCTGAAGCCCGGGATGCGCATGAGGACGGAGGGGCCGAGCATGATGCCGCCGATGACCTCTGCAATGACCCTGGGCTGCTTGATGTAGGAGAGGGGGTAGTGGAGGGCGCGGCAGAAGACGATGATGATGACGGACTGGATGATGAAGAGGGTGATGGGCTGCGAGGTGGACCAGGCGTTTGGCTTGATGCCCTCGAAGATGCCGGCCTGGGGCGGCGCGGTGGTGCCGTTGGTGGCCGTCCCGCCGGCTGCGTGGGCGACGGGCATGAGCAGCCCGGCAGCGGCGACTGCCATGGCGAGGGCGGAGCGGGCAGTTGGCTCCATGATGGCTGAAGGCGGCGAGAGAGAGAGAGAGAGAGAGCTCTCTGCTGGCTGGCGAAGGGAAGCTCAGCGAGCGGGCAGCTGGCGACGTCCGAGCTACCTATATAGAGGTGAGGAAGAGAGAAAGTCAAGTTGAACCCGGAGGGCAGCCCACGCCGCAGATGAGGCTCAGTCTGGGGAGGCAGGACGGGGCTGGCACCCTGCAGGCAGGCAGGCGCGCGCCAAGACATGGCCTAGACTGGTCGTTGCCGGGACGCTTCCCGGACTGCGTGTGCTTCTTGAGCTCCCCTTTGAGGGAGGGTCGTGTCTTGGTCTCTTGTGCGCGTATGAAGACGAGCTCGTTCTCGTCTTTCATATCGTCGAGCCTTTCGACGATGTTGGCCGGGAGCTCGATGTGCGTCCCGCCACACGTAAACACGTGCGTCTCGAGTTATGCGTTGGCCATTCTGCCAGTGGGCGATTGTCGGTGCGGTGGACTTGGTGTTCTTCGACCGAGGTTGCTCTATGCTAGTTTGCTCGCGTCAGCACGTGGTGGTGGTTACTCTTGAGCGAGTTGAGAATAAGTGACAATGATAATGCAGGGCCGGGGTCGTGCAGGTGAGTGTTCGTACCTTTCCATGCTCATAACAGTGTGCTCGTATGCTTCGAGCAGAGTTCGATGTGATGTTGGAGCTGGGGTTCCAAGATGGAATGGGAAAGGCTGCCGTGTCTTGTGGGCGGGGAAAGGCGGATTCTTATACTCGCTCAAGGAGCAGTCGAGCGAGCTGTGTCCAGCTTGGTGAATGAATGGCTGCCTGGTGTGATGAGGCATCAATGCGCCAGGAACGATGGACGCATTCATACTTCGGAGTATTGTTGTGCTTCGACCATTGATGATCCAGAGCGGAGCAGCACAGACCCATTGCTGTTGTCCTTCAATGGTATGGCGTTGACCGATCACGGAGCATTGAAGCCGCCAGCCAGGCAGCAACAAGCTTCGTGGACCACGCCATGAGCATTCATCTCGGAGAACAATTGACAATGTACTACGGGCCGTGGTGATTCATCTCATCAGCGCACAATCATCGTCAATGGGCGGACGAGCAACAACGTGCCTATTGAGTCCCACTGAGAGGGCTTTGAATCAGCAGGGTCGAAGCTTCGCTCATTTGCTCGTCCAGACCTCCGAACCTCTGAGACTCTCGACCTCTGACGCCAAGCCTGTGTCACTCATTGCCTTGAGCCTCAGGTGTCAGAGGTATCAGAGGTATCAGAGGTCTTGATCTCGACAGGATCGGCCTGAGGGAGGAGCCGAGTCTCACCATCCAGCTGCAGGCCGAGAGCTGCCACGAATTTCCACCGTCTTCGACTAATATACAGTATCCTTGACGACGTTCTTCAGGACGAGTACTTGTAGATTGCAACGATCAGTCGAGTTCTCTCCTCGGTGAAGCACTTGTTGCAGATGATACCCGCGCCCGGGTCACCCGCCAGAATGTAGTAGCATCCAAACTTGGTGAGCTTTGTTGGGCACCACTTGCAATGCTTCGGACCGCTGCCAGCAGGTCTCCGAAGCGCCTGGAGGAGTGGGTGAGCGAAATTGAGTCCGTTCTCCAGGTGAGGTTGCCCGATAGCCGGGAGCTGCTTCAAGACCTCCACATGATACTGTCGAATTTGTGGATTGTTGTACATGTTGTCCCCGAGTGGGTCGACCGTGTCAAGCAGCATGGCAAAGATACCCTCGAAGAAGGACACAAAGCTCAAGTACTCGAGATCAAGCGGCGTGATCAGGAGGCTGTAGACGAGAGGCAAAAATCCACGGGCGAGAAACACCATATGACGTACTCGCTTGTGTGAAGGATGGCCGCGGACAAAGCCTAGGAGATAGTCCAAGATCCGCCGAAGGAGGTCCCTCTTGGTGTTGGTGCCAGACCCGACATATGAGTGATCGTCCTCGTCGCCGTCAAAGATGTATTTTGAGAAATCTGTACCCACAGGAAGGCACAGGTAGACATCAAAGACTTTTCCGTCGGCGGGGATCAGAGTGAATCTGGCATGACAGTCGGCATGTGTGAGACTCGAGCCTTTGCCCAAAACCAATCGAGCTGCAGGAGTGACATGTGTACGCAAGAATTCCATTAGCTGGTTGTCGCTGTGCCTGATGATGAGGGCAGCAACCATGGGGTGCATTGGTCCGCGGCAACTTTTGTGTATCTCAAAGTGGTCGTCCAGAGTATAACGCTCAGCCAGAGCTCGAAGTCCCGCAAGTATTGCCGATACGAGAGAGAAGAACTCCCCAGTGTAGTCGACATGACTCTCCGGACGGGGGGAGGGAGACTTGAGCCCGCCCGCAATGTATGTCTCAGAGGTAGCAGAGGTAGCAGAGGTAGCAGAGCTTCTGTCATGGCTCCGTCTACTTCCACTCCAGCCACCTCCTCGATCCCACTTTGTGCACACTCCCCCTCCCACAATTCCGGTCCACTTTCCTTCCAACACTCCTTTGGACCTCATAGCCGTGCTGGTCCAGGAACGACCATCGAGGAAGAACACAGCTCGTGCCTGCTCTGTGTTTCAGCCCATGTGGCTACGACAATGAGTGTTCTTCGGACTCCGAGGTATCGTGACAAGATGGTGAGCTGACGGTATTGTAAATCGTAAATCCAGAATGGCTCTCACCTTCCTTGTGCCAAAGGACCTGAGTGAGCAAGAGAGGGAGCTCATCAAGGGGCTACTCGTCCTAAAGTATATCGTTAAGGAGAAAGTAGTCCCAATTGTTAATGAAGAAAGTTCTTGGCAGCCCTCGATCGGCAGCTAGAGCGCGAGGCTCGCCTCCTCCCTTAGGCCGATCCCGTCGAGATCACTACCGACATGACCGAGTGCTACGGAATCAGTGTCGTCGACCTCTACCTCATCACTCGCACAGAGGCTCGCCTCCGCCGTAAGCTCTTCTTCATTGACACCCGCATGCGCGGAGCGGTCGACATCCCCAAGATCACCGCCCACATGTGGACTATCCCGGAGGACGATGATGACTACCTCGCGTGTCGCGCTGGACCGACCAAGAAGGCTTCAATACTTCGCAACATCAAGAAGACCTTGGGCTCTGCGCACCGCGGGTTCCGCCAGAGAGAGTGCTACGACTTGGCACCAGGCCACCCAGGGTCTCATCCGCGAGTGCGTCCCCGAGCCACTGAGAGTCGAGCTGGAGGAGGAGATTGTGCGCTTCGATCCTCATAAGTCCTTCATTGACTCGCGTGCCCTCCCCATCCTTCTTCATCCACGAGCTCAACTGCGTCACCCGGCTTGGAACTGGCCTCCTTCCGAAGTTGCCGGAGTGGCTCAAGCAGATGAGTGAGTCCTAAGTTGCACGATCTTGTGTCTATTTGGGTTGATAGGACGTTACTGTCACGAAGTGAAGAGTTAGGTCGCTTGCATACAATATCGGAAATCTACACGGCAGAGGCTGCGTGAGATGGAACATGTATAAGGCCTCTAGGGCATTATTATACTCATCCGTTCGTTGTTCATCAATATAGCGCCGCCTCGTTGCTTCAAAGTGCAGAACTCATTATTATCATATCAAATGACGGGATTAATGGCATGTTACGCAACATGCGGCGACCCATCTTCGATCCCCAGCGAAAAGCAGGACATAAACCACCTCCGACATTTACTTTGCCAAGCTCAGCTTGCCTAGCGCCTGCTGCAGCCCGCCCTCCTTGCCGTGCGGCCACTTCCACTGCGTGACGTACTCCGGGTCGGCGCCCGTCTCGTGGGCCTGGTGGAGCGCCTCGATGCGCTGGTTCTTGAGCTGCTCGCGGGCGCTCGACCCGCGGTTGCCGAAGCCCTTGACGTGGTCGATGGCGCTGATGGCGAGGCTGAAGCGGTCCGTGTTGTTCCGGATGGCCAGCTCGAAGGGGGTGTCGATGTTGCCCTTTTCTCTGTAGCCTGTGCAGAAAAAAGTCATCAGTGGGTCAGTTCATGAGTTACAGTAGCGGCCGGGATAGATGCCTTTGACCGTATGACCGCCAACAGCGAAGATCGGATCACGGTAGAACTTACCCTTGACGTGGATATTCCTGCTTCCGTTTCTCTTGTAGGTGAACTTGTGCACCATGTACGGGTAGGCATGGAAGTTGAAGATCACAGGCTTGTCGGCCGTAAAGATGGAGTCAAACTCGGCGTCCGTCAGACCGTGCGGGTGGTCGTCATGGCTGATGAGCTTGAACAGGTCCACCACGTTGACGCAGCGGATCTTGAGCTCCGGGAGTTGCTTCAGGAGCAGGTCGATTGCGGCCAGAGACTCAAAGGTGGATATGTCGCCGCAGCTGGCCATGACCACGTCGGGCTCCTCCCCGGCATCCGAGCTATACTGAGGCCAGATGCCGATCCCCTTGGTGCAGTGCATCACAGCCTCTTCCATGTTCAGGTACTGCAGGTTGTCCTTCTTGTCTGCCACGACGACGTTGACGTAGTTCTCGGAGCGGAGGCAGTGGTCCATGACTATAAAAGAGAGAGTTTCAGCCCCTGTGTCCGCAAGCAAGCTTCAAACTAAGTCAATGACCACCCAAATAGTCGTACTAACCTGATAGAAGACAGTTTCCGTCGGGCGGGAGGTAGATCCGGACGATCCCGGGGCTCTTGTTCGCCACAACGTCGAGGAAGCCCGGGTCCTGTCAAAAATCAGCACAACACTTTACGAGGTTCTAAACGCCCTCGAAAGGTCTAACCTGATGCGTGAACCCATTATCTATGTTAGGGGAGCAAAAGTTAGCTCGAATCATTTCTTATGGCGGTGCTATGAATGTAAGAAACTCTGGGGTGAGGTTGGACTAACGATCTTGACGCCAGCACGGCGACGATGCCATGATGTTAAGAGACGCAATTTTGACACGCCACTCGATCTCGAGAGTCTTTTCCAACCATTTTGCATGCTGTATGAGACGTTAGTGTTGTGAAATGAGCAAGTGATCGAATGTGGGCATAGTGAACATTGAGGCGTTAAGGGGATGTTGCAAGCCACCGAGATGCAACCTTTGCGCGCTCACCTGGTTGACCATGGAGTCAATGATATGCAAGAAAGCCTCGTAGCTGTTGATTAGGCCATGGCGACCACTGAGGAGGTACCCCTCGAGCCAGCCCTCGCACTGGTGCTCAGACAGCATCTCCATCACCTGGCCCGAGTGAGCGAGATGTCCGCCGTCCGCATCCTCTTCGAAGTACTCGCCCAGCCAGACTTTGTTTGTAACCTCGTACACGGTGTCGAGCTTGTTCGATGCCGTCTCGTCGGGCCCGAAGATGCGGAAGTTGTGACGGTTCGCCTTCACGACGTCGCGGAGGAACCCGGCAAAGTTGACCATGCCGCCCGCGTGAACCGCGCCGCCCTGCTCGACGGGGATCGCGTAGTCTCTAAAGTTGGGCATCTCCAGCGGCTTCCGGAGCAGCCCGCCGTTGGTGACCGGGTTCGCGCTCATGCGCCGGTTGCCGGTCGGGCAGAGCTCCCGGAGCTCGGGAAGAATCTTGCCGTCGCTGCCGAGCAGACGCTCCGGCTCGTAGCTGCGCATCCAGTTCTCAAGGATCTTCAGGTCCTCGGGCTTCTGGCGGACGGTCGTGATGGGGACCTGGTGTGCCCGCCAGAAGCCCTCCAGGTAGTGCCCGTCGACCTTGCGAGGTGCCGTCCAGCCCTTGGGTGTCCGCAGCACGATCATCGGCCAGCGCGGGCGGAAGGCCTTTCCGGACTCGCGGGCCTGCTTCTGGAATCCTCTGATCTCCTGGACGCAGTGCTCCAGCGTGGCGGCCATTGCCTGGTGCATGGTGTCCGGATCGCTTCCCTCGACGAAATATGGCTGCCAGCCATAACCAAGCATCAGATACTCGAGTTCCTGGTGCGGGATGCGTGACAATATCGTGGGGTTCGCAATCTTGAACCCGTTGGCGTTGATCACGGGGAGCACGGCACCGTCGGTGATGGGGTTCAGGAACTTGTTGCTGTGCCACGATGTAGCCAGGGGTCCGGTCTCCGCCTCGCCATCTCCGACCATGGTGACCGTGATGAGGTCTGGGTTGTCGAACACGGTACCGAATGCGTGAGAGATCGAGTAGCCGAGCTCTCCGCCCTCGTGCAGGCTGCCTGGTACCTCTGGGGAAGCGTGGGACGCGGTGCCGCCTGGAAAACTGAACTGTTTGAAGAAGTGCTGCATGCCTTTCGGATCCTCCGACTTCATGGGGTAGACCTCAGAGTACGTGCCCTCGAGGTAAGCTATTGCATCATCAGTAAGCCCTCGCTCGTTTGAGAGGTGTATGGATGGAGGATGAATCTCCCAGATCAACACCAGATATCCTTGTCTACACGAAAGCATGTGAACTCACCTTGGCTCAAGACAGCAGGAGCACCATGCCCGGGCCCGCTGACGAAGATGGCGTTCAGGTCGTACTTCTTGATCAAGCGATTGAAGTGCATGTAGGTGAAGATCTGGGCCGGCACGGAGCCGAAATGACCGAGCTGGCGCAGCTTGATGTGCTCGACACTCAGGGGCTCTCTGAGCAGGGGATTGTCCTGCAGATAGATCATCCCCAGCGAGAGGTAGAGACTGGCGTTGAAGAAGTCATTGTACTTCTTGATGTCCTCGGCTGAGAGGGGTTCTCCCTTGATGGTTGATCTGGCCTTGCCGAAGGGTTGGAGGTCGTCGACAGTGGAGCTTTGGCTCGCCATTGTGCTTGCTCCGAATGATTCCACGGCAAGCGGAATTACGATGGATATGTCACGGTGATGGAAGCAAAGACCACAGCTTCAATCAATAGTGAATATAAGTTGGTGGGAAAGCAGACTTTAGTCTCGCACGACCTGCTCGAAAGCGTCGTTGCCTTGTAGGACTGGTGATGATGCGAATCGTCCGATGAACTGATGATAGGAGACAACGTTCGATGTTGATGGGAAGAGTCAATGGAGAAGGGACTTCTATGTTCTAGTGGCTACTCTTGAGAGATAGGCAGAATCTCTGCAATAAATGTACGTCATGCGTTCGTGTCTGTCCATCTCGATACCCGTCAAATGTACGTCATGCGTTCGTGTCTGTCCATCTCGATAGCCGTCAGAGGGGCATCGTTCATGGTGGAACCTGAGTGGGCTGCTCGAAGCGTGTCCTCCGCTACGCTAGTCTCGACACAGTCCGGCACGCCCGGAGCTCTCAGCTCGGTCGTGGCCGCACACAGGCGAGAATGCGGCTCGTGATTTACACCGTCATGATGTCACGCCAGCGGGCACCATTTACGGAGCACACCCCGCTAGGCTCGGCTCCAGCCGCAGGGCCGTCCGCAGGTGGGGCAGGCTCGGCCGAGTGGGTATAGCACAGTGAAATGCCCATGTGAACGAGTGCTGCAAACTGGGCGAGCGGATGGCAAGGCTGTCGCGGCTGTTCCAGAAGTTCAAGTAGTTGCAGCAAGGAACGCCCAAGTCCTGGGCCCTTGGGCTGGAGGGGCACAATTAGGCTCGGCGTCGACCGCTGCCGTCTCCAGCCATGGGGGCAGTGGGAGTTGGTGGCGAGGTCCGAGCCGGCATCAGCTGCACATGACTGGCGCATTTGTGTGCCTGTCGGTGGCTTCGAGGATTGTGAGCACTTTCAGGGGTCCCCTCCCTCCCCTACGCGTACGCAGTACTCCGTAGGCCAGGCAAACACGATTGCTCCAGCCACCATTCTCCGACTGTGGCATCTGATCTGAGGCTCGTGCTTCAGAGCCTCGAGTGGGAGCACTGCAGCAGACCGTATCGTGCTCGAGGTCCCCGTGATGCACTCATGTGACTCCCGCCTGCGGCCTCTCGTTGGCAGGCGTTGACGTGCTCACCCGCCTTTGCAGGGGTCCTGGCATCCTGCAGCTTCCTAGCCTCCTCCGTAGCTGTCTCACTCTTTCTTAGTTTGTAGTTATCTCGGGCTGCATTGTTTTGTTTCCCCATTGTTTGGTCTTTCTGTCCAGAGATGGTGTTGTGTCTCGCGTGCCACAGCAGGCACCGCCCTCCGCACTCGACCTGTGTGTGTCACCAGGCACTCCACGCCCTCGGGACAGCAGCCTGGCCGAGACCGCTGTTTTGCTTCGGTCGTCCATTGTCATGCTGTCCCTTCGGAGCTTTTCGAGTCGGCTCAAGTCATCTCTGTGCAACACACCTCCAGGACCCTGCCCATCACCCCCGAGTTCTAGGTACACGACGTCCGTCTTGGATTGACAAGAAGAAACCTTGCATGTGCTTGCGTTTGGCTCACTTCCGCCACGAAATAATTGCATACCTACTGACATTCATTCTCCGTCCGTCAATGTTCTGCCGCAATGTGATGCCGCAATGTTTCCCCCCAACCTTGTCCGGGACCTTGCAAATGTCCTGCAGCATCCTAAACCATCTTCCTCCCCGGACACTCCCGCAGTGGCCGGCACATTGACATTCCAAAGTGGAGCATCCTGTGTTCTGCTGCCTGAGTACAACTCCGCCAGCGTAAAGACGCAGGCTCCAGTCCTTCGTGGCCTGCGTGGGACGCTGGCCTCGTGTTCACTTTGATTTTCGTCAATTAGGCATTGCTAGTTCCAAAGAGCCAGGCATTTTTCATGTGCTTGTAATGGATGGAATTCCAGAGCTTTGCTTCAGACCCGGCCTGGGCAACCAATGGATATAGACTTAAGAGTCTACCTCCACACTGCCTGCTGGCCACATCTGTTCGATACAATTTTAGCCTACAGCATCCCAAGGATACCGGGTGCATCGACAGCACAACGATGGCAGCCACTCAGAGGCGGGTAACGCTGGTGGATCATCGTTGTCGGAATATTGCTTATCCGCGGCCATGTAAGGTAAGGTATGTGCTCGTGAGTCCCCAGGGAGCCTTTCTCTGCTTCATCAAGATTGCTTCTTCTGGAACATCTCGAGATAATTTTGGTGATGACCTGGCGCGCGTGCGACACTCGAAGCAGAGTACGTACTGTGCTCGCTGGGTGCACCACAAAGGTCCCTCGGCGATCTCCTCAAGAAGGAGATGTCCATGTACAAGCGAATAGAGCAGTGCCGCTCTGACCACCCGGGCCGAGACGCTGTCAGGCACCTGCTAGATTCGTTCCAAGTCAAGGACCCCGACGGAGACCACCTCATCCTCGCCCATGACCCGCTAGGGCGGAGCATCCAAACAGTCATCACGTGCAACAATCCCAGAGCACTTCCTCCCTCGGGTGTGCGCTTCGTCCTAAAGGAACTTCTCCTCGCCCTCGACTACTTGCATCGGGAGTGCAACATCATCCACACTGGTACTGACGCGAAGGCACCATACCCAGACACCTTGGCGCAGACAGGGGCTGACTATTCTCAACAGACATCAAGGCGGACATCATGTTCAGCATCTCAGACACATCCGTCTTCACCGACTTTGAGGAGGCAGGGATACAAGAACCCTCCCCTCGCAAGGAGGTAGACGACAGAGCCATCTACCTCAGCCGGATACTGAAGCGTACCGGCACGATCGGCCCCGTGGTCCTGTGCGACTTTGGCGCTGCCGTCTTTGGTGACACCGAGCACCGCGAGGTCGTACAACCACCCGTGTATCGGGCCCCCGAGGTCATCTTGGAGGCTCCGTGGGACCACAAGATCGACGTCTGGATGCTCGGCTGCATGGTGAGCTCACGAAACTTTCCTCCTGTTGACGGAACCTCCCTGCTGATCAACGTGTCAAAAAGACCTGGGACATCTTGGAAGGTTTTCGGTTGTTCAATGGCATAGACCCAGAACACCATGCTTACCGAAGGAGGACACATCTCGCCGAGCTCATCGCGCTCCTCGGGCCCCCGCCCAAGGAGCTCATCGCGCGCGGCAACCTGGGGAGTAAATTTTTCTCCGATGAAGGTGAGGCAAACAGCCGTGTCCAAGGACCTCCTTCTCCCGAATGCATCTGCTGACAGTATACGCAACCAACTAGGGGAGTTCACTGGCGGAGTCGGGGTGCCAGGGCCGGTATCGCTCGAAAGCCTAGAGGGGCTGCTTGCCGGAGAGGAGAAGAGACGGTTCCTGGAGTTCATGCGGAAGATGCTCCAGTGGGATCCGTCGAGCCGCAGTACCGCTGCCGAACTGCAAGAAGATCCCTGGCTACAGGAAGGGGAATGAAGCGGAGGGCAGAGGACGGGTTCCGCAGTGAAGGTTGCGCTGGGCAGAGGCGGCGGGCGCGCGTCTGTGTTGTTCATGTTGTGCAGCGAGGCCTCTACCTTGAGACAATTCTGAGGGCCGCGACCTGGATAGGCTCCCGCTGCTTTTGATTTGCTGGATAGCCGCGATAACAGGTCAAGAGATGTATGCTGCTGGCTTGTAGTGATTCGTTGAGATGCGCGTGTACATCGGCACGGCCCATAGATTAGGTTAGCTGCAAAGATCAGTTGGCTAAGGGCCGTGAGCAAATGGATTTAGGACTTCCGGTTTGTTTGCAGATGTTTGGGACGGGGAGTGGTGATGGTGATGTCCTAGCGTTGGCCGGCCATCTTGGAGGTTACCGCTTCGCTGTCTCCGGGTCCGTTGCTGCGCGATCTGGGACGCGTTACCAGTGGCGCCCGGTGTGACAGGCATGCCGCCAAGGACCCTGAATCAGATTCGACAGTACGATGTATTACAGCATCTGATTCCGAGGAGCAGTGCTGCACACCCTCATGGGCGGAGCTGGGCATACAGAGCGACCAGAATGCCTCCATGAGGCTGATTTGAGAGCCCTTCTCATCGTTGTCGTCTTGGTGGATACTGACAGCATCCACCCAGAAATAGACCGTCTTCATATTGCGTGACATCATGAAAAGGGGGTGATAAAGATTACATGTGATAGTTACCTCTACGCTATTGATAATCATAGGCGTCGTCTTTGTTGGATCCCCCTAGACGTACGAGAGAGCCACGAACTCTGGTCCATCGTCGAGTGATACGACGTCCATCGCGCACCGTAGAAGACACACTTTCTGGGAGTTCTCGGGACTCTCAGATACGGTCGGATCATGCTCGTTGAAAGAAGACGTGGACGCAGGCTCGAACCTAAGCAGCCGAATTTGGAACCGGGTTGGGTCCAGGGGGAAGTATAGCTGCGACATGACGCCAGCCGCTTCGAGGTAGTGACGAGGACGAGAAAGGAGCTTTCTACAGGAGAAGTAATTTCGCGTTTGTGATGGAGATTGCTCCAGGCTAGGGGCCCTGTCACCAGCTTATGAATGGTGCGGGGGTCACCCTCAGCCACAAACATCTTTCCAGGAGACAGGGGTCTGCCTGGCCTTGCTTTTCAGTTTCGCTGGGCACTGATGTTTTGTCAGCAAGGTGTTCTCGCCGTCATCCTCATTCTCAAGGACCATCTGTGCTCCCAGGCAGCATAAAACTGAGATGCCGCTCACTTACACAAGCCTGAACAGCGCAAAGGTCCAGGTCCGTGTGTTGAGGATCCTGGACACGAACGGCGGCAAGTCAACATCACAAGGTTCGGTCGCAAGCAGCGGGCTCAATTGCGCATTGGACGTCATCTCACTCGACCACGCAACCAAGTACACAGCCCTTTCATATGTCTGGGGCGATTCGAGTACGAGCACCACCAGCATCACAATAGACGGCATCACAGTTCCTACCACGGAGAATCTCCATGAAGCTCTGCTATGGTATGCCAAGCGCCAGTCTCGTGGCGTTAGACTGCCGATATGGGCCGATGCGATCTGCATCAATTAGGAAGACCTCAGCGAGAAGAGCAGCCAGATTGGCCTGATGAGTCGGATATACCAGGAGGCGGACGAGGTCATATGCTGGCTCGGCCCTTCAACGCCGCACATCGACAAGTTCCTGCGCTGGAGACCACTGCTGGCAAGACCGCACCCAGCGTTGCCCCTATCAAGCGTCCGGGAGGCTCTCTTTGAGACCTGCATGCTGGCCCGCGGCAAGCTCAAGCACGGGAGGAAGCTCGAGATGATGCGCATTCATCGGGCAAACTGAGTTCCTACGTCTCAGCTACTTCAGACGTATGTGGACATTCCAGGAGTCCCTGATGCCGGGACACAAGGCGCGGTTTGTCCTCGGCGGCGAGGTCTTGGAGCATGACCTGCGCAAGTTCAAGTCAGTCGCGCCGCCCTTCCCGGATTGGGTTCTTCGCGAGCCTCCAGAGGAGGACCTGAGGATGAAGTCGGGCAGCGTGCGGAAGATCATTGCGACGGCCCACGACTCCATGTATACAGAGGCCAGGGCTGCTGTGCGCGCCGCTGCCGCAGACGCCTGGTTCTTACAATTTATGCTTCCCCATGACCGGAACTACCGGCTTTGCGGCCTGCTGATGGCAACGAGCGGCCGGGCTTGCAAGGATCCGAGGGCCAAGATATATGCGGTGCTGGGTCTGCTGCAGCAATAGCGGGGTAAAAGCCACGCTATTGAGCAAGCCCGGGCGACGTTGCTAGCAGTGAACTATTCCAAACCAATCGATGCCGTAATCCGGGATGCGCTCTACTACTCATTCTTTCATGAGAGCACGGCTTCCCTTCCGGAGGCAATCCTGCGTTTCGAGCCACGGCGGTGTGGCCCGGCTTCCTGTGCAATGCTCGAGGATGGCGTGCCGCAGCAAGGCAGCGGGTCCACCTGGCTGCCAGACCTGACGCGTCCGAGATATCCCATCCAGGAAGAAATGCTTCTCATGCAGTAGTCGCACCAGGAAATCAAGTGGCACAGGGAAAAGGGCGTGGGCCAGGACATCCTAGAGTTCAAGGCCAGACGCATCGGTCGCGTGCTGGCCTGCTGTTCTTTGCCGGATACGACAGCTGACATCATCGACAAGTTCGCGTACATGCTGCAGAAGGTTGCGCGCACGGAAGGAGAGACTAAGGGGACGTCGAGAGCCCAGAAACATGGATCGACTGCGCGTCAGAATATGTGCGAGACTTACGCTGATTTCGAGACCGTCTTGTCAATGGTCACATCAAAGTCATCTCTGCTGTCGATACTAATCGATCCTCCAATGAAGAGTTACGATGCTCGGCTGTTCGACTACCTGGAAAACCCCGGAGAAGATTTGTGGTCGGATCTCCAAGCAGCAGTACGGCGCGCGCCCGATGCGCATACTCCACGATCAAGGGGCACGCTACGGCGTGCCGAGACAGTGGCTGAGGCCTTACGAGGCAAGTCGCTCATCGTGCTCGATGACGGTCGGTTCGGCATGTGTGCCGACAGAGTAAGCGTTGGCGATGTGGTGTTCCCAGCTGATGCGTTCCGCTACTGCTTGGTCCTTCGGCCTGCGGACACGGGCAGGTTGAGAGGCGAGACCAGCAACAGAGTCAATGATGGACAAGGGCACCTGGCCCACATTGGAAGTTGGTACCATTTTGTGGATTGCCCGCCAATGATACAAGGGTTAATTGGCGCAGTAATTTACGAGCGGGGTTCCTTCGACGGGTTGCGTGAGATGGTTTACGAAACCATTCGTTTAATCTGATAGAGTCTGCTAATTAATAGCACGACGGGATTTGCAAGCAGGGATTCTCGACGAGGGAGAAGCGTCGAGCCCTTATCGACTGTGAACCCTCAGACTCGGCGCAATCTTTGGGCTATCGTGCAAGTCTTGTGTCGTGTACAAACATATTATTATTTCTTCACTTGGTGGGGACACAAATGATGATTAGACCTTTACTAGGACATACGAAGTTGAACCTTTAGTCAGAAACATAAATGTTTATAGCTAACGATTCTCCCCACCTCCTAGCACAAGTTCGACTATAAGCCTGCCTTAAAGCACCAATTAATAGCCTCCTATAGGCCCATCTACGCCCGGTCGACTAACCGCACTTCCTTTAAGTACAAGTAGCGCCAGGCCCGTTTGGGCCTTTCTAAGGGCAAGCCTCAGGGGGATCCCTTTCTTAAAGTCGATCTCGAGCTAAATCAGAGGAATGTAACAGCCTTGGTAATGTCGTTGTACGCGTGCCAGTTCCCCTATCGAGGAGGCTGAGTTTACACCCTGGGGGGATCTGATACTCGCTGGGAATTCAAGTGGATGAGAGCAGTAAGTGGGCTTTGTTTCCTTATATACAAGATATGTTATTCAGCATTACGCTGGGGACCACATGGCGGGTTTTTCCGCTCGATACGACAGCAATAATTTCGTGGTCCTAAGTCCGATAGCTAGCCGCTCCATATCCTGACCGATCAGGTCACCGCATAGAACCTTAGAAAAAGCCGAAGCGGCTCTCGAAGTGAGCAACAAGTCTTCAATCAGTAATATAGCAGTTGTTGCTCGTGCAGATTTGGGAAAGAAGGCCCTCCCATCCCGAAGGAGGTCATTCTGGATGAAGCATTGTACATGAGCTGGGCAAAGTGGTTGTCCTCCCCGAAGAGCATATCTCACCATCTTCTCACTGTCTCGCACAGGTGCCAAATGTATCCATGTCGACCAGGATCCGTTGTCAGCGAAGCGGGCTATCGCGAGGACGAGCGGGGGTTATTGCCAGATCTCACTCTATGATAGTGCTAGCAAATCACTGTAAACACTGTAATTAAGCTGCTCTTACGTCATCTGGAATCTGTCCGTGCTACGCAATCTGAGGCCTTGTCGGGGTCCGGCGGAAAATCAAATTGTGCGATCGTCCCACCGCACCATGCTCAAGCCACACGGTGAGTTATAATTTGATAAGCACCATATTTTTTGACATATGATGGCCTGCAGGCGTCGGCAGGGCGCGGCCGGAGCATGTGCTCGATCAAAGGGCCGTCACCAGACCAGAAGGCTGCGGGGTAACGCCCTGGCGCTTTATCTTGTGGCTAAGCGAGGGGCGTTGCATCGTGGGAGGGATGTCACGCCACGCTATGCAGAGTTTCGGTGCTACATTGCCTGGAAACCTTGAAAAGAGCCCAGACCAGCAAGCCATGGATGCTCTCGGGCTCTATCAGTTCCGTAAAAGCGCTGCATCTTCTGTCAGTCCACCGGCAGCCACCGGCAAGACGGCGATCCATTCATGATATCCGAGGTCGACTCCCGAAAGTCATCACGGCAACCTCAAGTCGACGCGGAGTAGGTCTTTTACAAGCGCATAAAACACCCCGGCGGCAGCACCGATAACGAGTCGGTCACAAATTTCGCAGCGCGCTCGTCAGCTTGTCCAGTCAAATGTCCAATCACTCAACATTCTTTCCTCACACTTTGGGAACCTCCCCAGGGAACGCCAGCATGGATGATCCAACAGAGCCGACGCCTGGCAGCCTTCCGGCAGCACTCATCCCTGTTTTCGTGCTTGCGGCATCGGTGCTGGTCTTTCTCCTGATAATGTATGTTGTTTGTTATCCACTTCTGCTGCTGCCTCGAGAGAATTTTGTTTCGCACCGCCGACACGTGCGGAGGAAGCTTTTGCAAATGTGCATTCAAAGATACTTCTGTGCAAATTACTAAATCGTGGAAGCACGGTCAATCGGCATGACGCCCCCGATGCTCCGATGGAAAGCAGTCAGCAAAGAGCCAATCAACGGCTCAGGCTTTTGGACAAGCAGGTCCGAGCTGAGCCGTTCAGCATGTGGCGCAACAAACAGCAGGTAGACTCGGCCAAGCGGGCCCAACGAACCCCACCAGCTGCCAACCCTGCTGCGGAGTCCAGCTTCGATTGCCAACTTTGGTGAGTCGGTCTGTTGTGCCCGTTCAGTGCTCCGCAACAGAGTATAGCTTTACGAGACCTCTCCCGAGACGAGCAAAGTTTTCTGACGAGCATTGCCAATCGGCTCCTGCAATAGCGTCATCTGTCTGGATGTGATCCAAGATACTAGCCCGATCAGAGCTCTCGCATGTCAGCATATTTACCACAAGGCGTGTTTTGACAAGTGGTTCAAGCGGGATCATGACGTGTGTCCCCTATGTCAGAGACAAGTGCTGTACGATAAAGCCCGCGAAGTTTCCGTGTAGCAGGACTGATACGGAACTCCTCGTAATGGATTTTCGTGACCACGATATACTTGAGCTGTTATGCGTGACAAACAAACATCGGGACATGACCCTTGTCTTAGGTGACCGATGTGCGCCACGGCAACGCCCACGTGCTAGGGCCACACGTGTAGGTGATCGGGGATTTGCCTCTCATGGTAAACATCTGGGTAGTGTACCGGGCTGAGCTTGGTCCGATTGGCCACCGCCCACCGGGCTCGTTGCGTAACGTGATTACATCATGCATTTTAGGGGCAGAAGCAGGTGTGATGGGCTTTTTTGACTAGGTATAGCTCAACCCGACGGGCGTTTCGGCTGTCAGCCATGGATGATCTGACTCGCGAGGATGCTTCTGTGCTTGGATTAACTTGAGCATAATGGTGTTCTAAGTGTGCCCTTTACGCCATTGAGTCATGGAGAAAGCACGATCCAGCTGGCAGCTTCCGTGCGTACAAGTTATCAGATGCCCCACGGCTCGGTACACCTTGTGGTAACAAGCAGGAACCCAGCAGTCGCCCGTTGCAAGTCACACTCGCTAGACATCCAAGCTGCTTGACAACTATTTTTGTGGAGAGCGATTATTGCACTGAAGCTGTCTACAAACGACGAGCCTTTCCCTTGGTGGACCGGAGAACGCCATGGAGCGGCAGGCATCATCCCTTGCCCCTGACCCGCGACTCCTCATTTGGGCTCAAGAACAAGGCTTTGACTTCGCAATCCCAGCATGCACCCCGATGCAGTCACAAAGCCTCGAATCAATCATGAGTAGCTGCGAGGAAGACACGGATGGGATTGTACTATCAAGGCTAGACCAGTCACATGTCTCGAAGGTCCCTTCGCCGTCTTTTGGAGCAGAATTCAACCCGACCTGTGCAGAGCTCAACCCAGGGGCCGCAAAACGAAATGAGAGCAAGGCGCGGGTGAGCAAACGGGGATGGAGGCGTAATGCAGCAGGGACCCGGGCTAGACGTGGAAGCACCAAGGATAACAGCAACAGCGATGCCAGCCTGCTACAATCTTTGGCGGGTGACAACTTCTCGCCGCGCACCAAGAATGAGGAGAGTCCCGACCAAAACAAAGAAAGCGTCATTCCCGCTTACCCGGAGCAGCACGACGGCACGGCAGTCACGCACCCACACGAGCAGAACCTGCGCATGCAAGACCTGCCCGATGGCGCGGACAGACGGCGCTGGCAGAACAGCCAGGCGGCACGCAAGAGCCGCGCGAAAAAAAAGCTGTAAGTCTGCCCCCCGTCTCGCGACCAGGGTACTTCGCGACCACCCCAAACCCCACCAAAATCGCTAAAATCGCTACCTTGTCACTCGGCTATAACTCAGCTAATAAATTAGCTATAGACCTACTTTAAGTATTTTTAGAGTTAGGATTAATAGCTCTATAAGGCTATACTACAATGTCCTACTAAACCTATTTATAGATTATTTTATTAAATCTTAAGTAAAAGAATTCTATAATGTAAAACTCTCCTATAATTAACACATACAAATGACTTTATCGTCTACAATATTTATATCTCTATGAATATTAGCTCTAAAAATCTGAAAATAAAAATTTAATAGGAAAATAGGCTATTGTGACGACCCGACCAACAGGGGAACTGCTTGGGGCTGAGGTAACAAACAAGCCCAGCACAAACAAGGCCGCAGGATCAGGCCAGGGACAAGGGCGGACCAGCGAAAGGCTGGCGGGGAACACATTATGTAAGCACCCACCTTACGTCAGCAGCCGACGATGAACGGTCGCACGGCGACCATCATCCGTCGGTCTTGCGACAACAAACTGTCGGCATGCGACCCAACGGTGTCGCAGGACGACGGGCACGATGAAGGACAAAGGGATATATAGAGCCAGAAGGATCTCCTAGATAGACAGTCATTACCTTTGTACTTCAGCGATCAATCTAAGTATCAGTTTCACCCACACTTGAACTAGTCACTCAATTGCCGAGACTGGTATCTCTTCCAAGAGACACGAACGACAACCCAGAGAGAGAACGACAGCAGAGTGTTAGTTGTTATTGTACAGGCTTTACCTATCTTGCAGAACAGCAACCCCAGCGCCCTGCCAGACGGCTGACCCCGGAGGCAGGATCGTGACATTTTGATCGCTCTTGTTCAGGTACGTACACCCTGAGCAATAACAACTAACAACAGGTACCACAGTTGCACAACAATGAACAACTTGCCACCACACCTTCTCACTTCAATCGGAAACCTTCTCGAAGACCTTTCACGACAAGTACACCTCCTTGCAGACCACCTCGACCAGGTTCCTTCGGACACCCCACGCACCCAAAGCGTAACCACTGAAACACCAAGGGAACGATCGAACTCGTGGATCAAGGACCCAACGTCGGCAGTACTCCCCAAGACACCACCCACCTGTACTAAACACCTGTGCGGGAAGTACGCCATCTACGTCGGACGTTGCGCAGACCACCAGTGGAACACCCGCAAGAGCATCTGCGACACTTGTCACCAACCCGCGTACCAAGGACACAATTCGGAGTGCCCCGGACGTGAATTCACCAAAACCTCACCGGAAGGACTCGCGGAAGCACTCTCCCAACTCACAATTAAGAAAGAGACACCGCAGTAATGGCGTCGCAACGGAACCCCGGATCACCAGCACCACCCTACGCCCCAGCGCCGAACCTAGCGCAGGAGCTCGGAACTGCCATGGAGACCCCGGACAGCGACGACGACGATGAGGAAGTTCAAAGACTTCGAGACACTGTCGGACAAAACCAGAATCAAATCGAGGAACTCAGACAGATGATACTATCACTCCAAGGCACCGTGAATGGCAACGCAGCCATCCTTGCCAGAGAGCAGGCCGAGAACCAAACACTACGGGAACAACTCCACACGATGCAGACCGCAGCCAACATCATCCAAGCACCAATAGGCGGACGCATCAGGTACCCGGCGCCAGGAAAATTCGATGGCACCCCCGGAAGACTCAAAGGACACATCACCCAAGTCAAGGCCTACCAACGACAGTACATCAACGAGTTCCCAGACGAGATATCCAGGATTCTACACGCGGCAGCATACCTTGACGGCAGAGCCTTAGCCTGGTTCGAACCCTTCATGGCCCGCATCATGAACAATCCCAATCTGGAAGAACACGACATAGAGACACAGGAGATATTCGACAGTTTCGACGGATATGTCAACGCACTCGAAACCCTGTTCCAAGACCCCGATGAGAAACGGAAGGCACAGAAGAGTCTAAGGGAGCTGAGACAAACTCACTCAGCGTCCGCCTACACTGCCGATTTCAAAAGCATCATCACCAAGCTTAGCCTCACCGAGGAATCCAAGATCGAAAAATACTACGACGGACTCAAGAGCGGCGTTAAGGACGTCATCGCCGCTAGAGAACACGTACCCCGAGACTTTGGACAATATTGCGAAATGGCGATCAGGATCGACAGCAGACTCCACGAGCGAGAAACGGAACGAAGGCCGGCGAGAAGCGCCAATACCACCCGTTTCCAGTCGCACCCAAGGCAACCCGTGCGTCCACAGTTCAAAAGAACTACGACGACGACAACAGCCACAGGTCACCATTCGGGACCTATGGATCTTAGCAAGGCCAAGAAAGACATGCGCAGCAAGGCTTGCTACAACTGTGGAAAAGAAGGACACTTCGCACCCAAGTGCCCAGAGCCAAAGAAGGCATTTACACCGGTACCAACACGACAGATCAAGGCTAGCTATGCCGAGGGGATGGCCACGGTCAATGAGGACACGGCATTTCCCTCAGACGGAGTTGAAGTTCCAGACGCGCAAGGAACACCCGTCCACCCACTTGCGACGTACGAATACCGCGAGCTGGAAGAAGCCACTGAGGAAAGGGACTCGAGCACCCCGAGTAACAGTGCACCAGGGGCAGGTACCCGAACGTACCGCCTAGCATACTCGACGATCGACGACACCAACTCGCCGACGGACGACGAAACGCTGGACGATTGGCCAGAAGATAGTGACGACTATGAAGGCACCCAGCAGGAACAGGCCGACGAGGAACACGAATACGCCTCGAAAGCAGAAGCACAGGACGCAAGAAAGTATTGGTCACAACACGATAAGGACCACATACACTTCACCCCAGAAGATGGCGGGGATAACTAATGCGACACCCCGGCCTTAATAAGCAGTGACGAAGAAGGAGAGGTCCACGACTCCGAGGACGAGGAATATCGGGCCGAGGAATCACAGATCCCTCTCCTCTGCTTCAGAGCCACCAAGGAACCTAGGACGAAGTTCCGACAACGACTCACAAAGCAGCTACAATACGCGCCGGAGCGCAACCCAAGAGACCACCGATGGATGGACTACGGGGACATCAATCACCCTCAAATACTGTGGATTCACTGCTATCATGATCAGTGCCTCGACCACATCGGGCCGAAGGCCAGGCATCAACTGTTCCCCGAAAGGACAGCGGGACTACCTATCCCGAACCCATTACTCGCCGGAGCCATGAACGACTGGGCCGTTAGGAGAATGGGAAACCACATCTACGAGCTAGAATCCAACCCTAAGTCACCCCTCAGCTGCGTCTTCGGAGAAGTCAGGGCCGCCGACTGCTGGAACCCAGTGTGTCAGGTCCACTCCTACCGAAAGATTGTTCAGTACCAGCAGAAGGAGGCCTTACGAAAAACTCAAGAGGATATGAACAAGCTCACCGTGCCCGATATCGTCGAAAGCATCCAGCAACTCAAGGAATACGCGTCAGGAGATAACGAAGCTCTGAGGCGCCACCTTGACAAGCAATGCATGACCCTCAACGAGGAAATGGCTTTCTTCGCAGAAAACGCCATTGTCCCAGCCCTGACCATTCAGGAGTATGACGGAGTCAGCAGGATGGTTCGCGAAGCAACGGAGCGCGACTACACGCCCAGCGAAGGACGAAAAGATCTCTGGGCGGACATCGAGACGGTATGGCACGAGGGACTGCTCGACAAAGGTTTGTACAACGCCCTGTCAGCAGCAAAACGCAAGGCGGAAAAAGGACCGCGGCCCTCGCAGGAGGCTCGGGCGCGCCGGAACTAAGAATCGCCTCCTCTACCATTTCCATACCCACGTACGGACGACCAACCGTCGTACCAGTACTCATCGAAGGAGTAACCTGCAAGGCACTCATTGACAGCGGCAGCCAGGGAACCTACATTAGTCCGAGTCTGGTCAACAAACTCAGGGTTCCGTGGAGAGCCAAGGAGGAGCCATACAGGATCCGTAACTTCGAAGGAGGACCACTGGCATACGATGATGGATGGATTAAGCGAGAAACCCAACCACTTCGGGTCCAATTCTCGAACCACAGCGAAGACATCAGTTTCGATATCTCCGAGATCGGGGGAGACGATCTCATACTTGGCAGCGGATGGCTGGCCAGGAGCAACCCTCGGATAGATTGGACAGCACGCCAACTATCATGGGACGACGGGATCAAAGGCATGGTTATGCAGATCGCCTCAGCCCATATCGAAGAACTCAACAACATGCTTAGCGAAGTACCAGAGGAGTACCATAACTATGCAGATCTGTTCGACAAAGACAACGACCGCGGACTTCCCCCGCACTCCAAATGGGACCACGAGATACCGTTGAAACCTGGCACGGAGCCACAGTTTAAGGCTATCTACAAACTCAGCCCGGACGAGCGAGTAACCCTCAAGGAGTACCTCGCACGAATGCTCAAGAAAGGATGGATCCGAGAATCCACCTCGTCCGCCGGCTACCCAATTCTCTTTGTACCCAAGAAAAACGGAAAGAAACGACTCTGCGTTGACTACCGACAGCTCAACGAGATCACGCACAAAAACAGATATCCACTACCATTGATATCGGTCCTCAGGGATCAATTGTACGGCGCGAATTGGTTCACGGCACTCGATATGCCGGATGCCTACAATTTCATCAGAATCAAGGTTGGAGACGAATGGAAGACAGCGTTCCGCACGCCGGAAGGACACTTCGAATATCTCGTCATGCCCTTCGGACTCACCAACGCACCCGCAAGTTTCCAGACCATGATGGACCAGATCCTCAAGGAATTCATCGGTGACTTCGTTGTAGTCTACCTCGATGATATTCTGATCTACTCGAAAACTCGGGAGGAACATTACGTACACGTACGCAAGGTACTGGACAAGTTCCGAGAACACAACCTCCTCATCAACCCCGAGAAAAGCGAGTTCCACAAACAAAAG